ATCTTGGATAGCCCAAGGACTATCATTCGGTAATTTATCACACGTTTAAGAGCCAACAAGATCCTCGAAGCTTCATCGCCTGGAAAACAAAGGTGTTCTCCATATCGCCTCGTTCGATCTTAATGAAAGTCTTTTGCGTAGATTTAGGCGTTGCGTTAATTCACCGCGGGCATGCTCGTCTGACAAGAAAGAGAGAAAAATGAGAATATAGGAGAGGAAAGGGGAGGAAAAAAAAAAATATAAAATTATTACAAAATCCCGCAAGAGGCCCAGCTAATTATTGTGCAAGTGTAATTGTCGGTACCCGTTGCGAGATATCGCTTGCCTTGAGAATATTTTAACTCGCCGAATTTTCGCGATGGCGGTTCGCGACAGTTTTAATGAACAGTCTTCCAGTTGGATGAAAATTACCCACGTCATTTTCTTCCCGACCGATTTCTTCAAAACCGCAGACGCGAGGACAGGGACTGATTATTGTTCGTTTCAGCATTGGATTTTGTAATTTTCTCGCAGGATCAGAGATGTGTGTATGTGCGTGCGGATAGAAATATAAAAGAGGTCGTTTTAAAACTTTAAATTCGAAATCTGTATTTTTTTAAAAATGTTCAATTTTTGTTATTTTTTTTTTAAAGTCTAGTAGGACTATGTTTAATTCATAGAAATATTAAAAGAAAGTTTTAGAATTTGTGTTCTTTAAAATTTTTCAGTATTTGTTTGAAAAAAATTCTGACACATTATTATACGTGTTATATACGATATATTAAAAAACTTTTCGCATATTATTAAATAAGAAAAAAAATACAAAATTTTTTTCATAATAATAAATCATTAGCTTATCACAAGCTATATTGTTATCACTTATCACATTTTATCACATTTTTCGACTCCAAAATTTGAATTACTTGATCTATTTTCAGTCGAGAATAATCTCTTGGCAATTGTCATTGAGGAAAATGTTTAATTTCGAGAAGAATAGAAAATTAGAAATTTATTCCTCGCGAAGGAATTAAAATTCCACGTATTATTTCTTCGATATTGTATCGTGTTAACAATCGATTATGTCTGAAATCAGTTATTCATTAGATTATTCTTTGATTTTTAATAGATCTTCATGATCGTTAATGAAAGGATACGCAGGCAATTTTAACACCTTGGCGGACAATAATCGTCGACATGCTTGTACGCACATTCCTCTAAAAGTTTGATCGTAAAATAGAGAAAGTTCTCATTTTTTCGTGTTCACTTTCATCGTTCTGCTGTTATTATTTGCTTTCCAAAAGGAAATTGCGTTTTTACGCATTCATATGCAAAAGACCAGGGTATTGTTATTGTTATTGTTATGGGGAAAGTATTCTTTGTTCGATGACAACTTTACTTATCGAACGATATTGCTTATTGATACGTTCTTCGTTACTAACGCTGACATTGAATTAGAATGTATCAATAGGAATTAATCGTATATTCGAATATGCTTCTATAAATGAATTGCGAATGTCAATTAAAGTATTCTAAGAAATAAGAGAAAGAATAGATCAAAGTATTAGATCAAAACTGAAAATACAGAAACGTGCTGCAAGATATAAGTATAATTTTAAATTGTAAGAAATAGTTACGGCTTTAAATGTCACAAATATCAATTATTCGCGCGTGAAAAAGTGTTATATACAAATTCACCGATTATTCGTTGCAATTTCAAATACTTTTCAAAAGTATAATAACGTGTAAAATTATCGTACAGGGATGAGTATCAATTACACAATTGTGAAAAGAAGATTAAGAACGACATACGTAAATTGCGAAGAGAAGAAGCAAAACAGGTCGACACAACTCGGGAAAGATAAAAAAATTAATAACCCAACATTCCCCTCGCAGTTTTTCCCTCGCAGAACCGTCTCCTTTTAAAGCATAAAATCGAGGCGACGTTTAACGTTCATTAAAACCCGGTTCACCGATGCGTTACAAGCATCGAAGTAGCACGATCCTCGCGACTGTACGATCCATCGCTCGATTTGCATTTTAGTACGCAATAATGCCGCGTTTCCGTGGCCGTGTAACTCATGGTGGTGGAGGCTTGGCCCGCGTCAAATCACCGTTAAACGGGGCTGCTCGTTAAATCGGCGACCAGCTGATCGTACACGTTTTACGATTGCCAGGTGAGCAACAAGGGGCTGAAGATTATACAGACGGTCCATCCAGGCGGCTCCACGAGGTCGGCTGTGAAGCATTTAGTGCCAGGACACGCTGTACTTGCGGCCGTGCAACGAGAGGACGTCGTCGCCGCAACTCTTCTGCTTCCAAATCCGGCCACCAACAATCCTGTCCACGTGCACGCGTACAGGTTACCAGAAACTTGAGAATCATAATTTATTCTTTTTTTTTTTTATTTCCTTCCTTTTCTATCTTCTTCTATCCTCTGCCCTTGTCGGATGTCCGTAAGGATTATATCGCGCAGTTGCTGTTCGCTTGGATGTTCAGAGGACGTTTCAACAGGAATAAAGCAATGGCGAATGTGCTGGAGCGAAGATTTGAAACTTTAACCGTTCTTCTACGTGGCGAGAATGTTGTTTTCTTTCGATTAGACGATAGGACGAGGCTGGAATAAGTCTCGTCGTAAACTTTACACAAAGACGAGAGATTCGAAGTAATTCCAACTGATTCGTATCATCCTATGAAGTACTTTACATCTTCTAGAATATCTTTAGAATTGTATATCTTGTCCACCGCTTTAACAGCACAGGATTACGTTCGAGATTTTAATCATTTAAGATCATTATAGGTTTTTTTAATCATTTTTCTCGCCTCCAACCTTTTTATTATTCTACATCGTGTTATTATTTTGTATCGGTTGAATTTTAATTGAGAAAGGCAGTGGCATAATCATAATAGGTTGATGCATTTATTCATATTCTTTATTTTAGTAATTTCTTGCAATTTCTTCATCACCGATTATTCGTGCGATAATTATAAAACGGCGATCGAACGATTAGAATCTAATTTATTCCTCGACATAACAGCAATATTATGAGATAATATTTAATTCTCGAATTAAATTCGAATTAAATAAAAGACGAAGCAAGAGTAATCGCATTGTACACGACGAAAAGAACGAAACGACTCTAGAATTTTTGGACGACATCTTTTCTCGAAATATCAGCTTTCTTGATTCGCGTTATCATAAATTACCATAAATCTCTAATTAAACGGTATATCGCGCCAAGTAGTAACCAGTTGGCGCAATCTGATCGCATTAGTACCAATTAACGGATAATTATCCGGAAAACGAGGCGCGTTACCAATTGCATGGATCGCCGTGAGATCCCTCGAAACGCGTTAATTTCCGCCTCTATCCTCGTTAACCGTTGTCAGCGAGTTCGAAGAACGCGACAGAGAATCCTCTTCGAATCTTTCCTTTCATTTCCTCTTTTTTACACCAAAGCGGATAAGATGAATCGCGACCTATGCAGCCATTTCATTCAGATCTCAGCCATTGCTTGTCTTCGCTAATTAACGAGCTGCGCGATTCTAACGGGTCGCTAATAATAAATTCTTAAGTCGGTGTTCGCACCACGTTAATCCTATCGGCAAGAGAACAGCCTTGCCATTGAAAATTCCCGTATTTTCTTCGTCTCGTGAGAAGAGTCTCGTGTTTCTCGTAACAACACTATTACTTCCTTTTTTTTTTTTTCTCTTTCCTCTCTTTTTCCTCTTCTTTTATCTCCTTTCGTGTGGTTGATGCAACGATTTACTCGTACACGCAATGGAATCGTGGATTATACAACGTTGGCATTGAATTCGTGAATCGGCGGCTTCGATCGAAACCAGGTAAATGGTTCGTTCGGGGTTTCGCGATCGTGCTGGCCGCGATTTCTTGCTGAGTTCATGGAAAATAATAAAGGTCATCGATTACGCGGTGAGCGTTATCCCAATGATTAGAATTTAAAAGGCGGTTGTATTTATACTAGGGATTAAGTCGGAAGGCCGGGATTACGAAGCTCAGCCTTCAGTTCTTTCTATAGACAAGCAACGTATTTCTGAAATATTTGAAAAAAAATATTTGAATTTAATTAGAAATTCACTTTTTACTAATATTCAATAATTTTTAAACTAACCGTAGATCGTAGAAATTAGTTAATGATCTTGTAAAATTGTCCAAAGTTTTCTTAATTCTATATTCGAATTAACCATCCAACAAATCTAACAAATAATAATAATTTTGAAGGCAATGATCCCGATATGATGAAAGCCGTCCTCATGGATTTGATCGTTTTAACTTTAGATGCGACTCGGTCGAAACAGCCGAATTGTTGGGCGGCCAGTTGAAAGCACTGGCATCGCACACCGACAATTTGGCAAGGGTGAACTCGCTGGAAGGCAGAGCTCGTAGCAATTTAGGGAGCGACGGTCGAAGCACCAGGGAATCGGAATCGTCGGAAGGTAGCGGTGAACTGAGACACGATTCCGTGCAGACCACCACGATATACGAGTCCTTGGCTGCGGAATTGCGCGCCAAGCTGGGTGAGTATTATTCCCTTTCAGAGTTGCTTCCTTTATTTCTCTTCGACGTACGTTGTGGAAACGTAGGTATCTACTCGGAAATTACATTTTCTTATAAAAAATGCAATTGCGTTTTAAATTACAACGCTTAAAGTACAAGTGCAGCTGCGATCTGACGTATAATTTTGCAAAAAATTTTCCAAAAAAGTACCGCGCGTGTATTTAAAAAAAATTCAATTTTAAGTTTTATACTCGTACGGATAATTCTACAATTACATTTTAATTGTAAATTTTATCCACAATCTTAAGTGCAATTGCAAATGCAAAAAAATGTATCTGCATCGTGTAATAAATTATAATTTTATTTACAATTCAAAGTTCAACCGCGTCTGCATTTTTCAGTGCAACTGTAAATACAAGATTATAATTTTATCTACATTTCAAAGTTCGCTCGCATAACTGCATAGGTAAAATAGCATATTGAAGTACAACCGTATCTATATTTTAATTTTAATGCAACGCAATTACAAATGCAGAATTACAATACAGAAAATAACAAATTGGAAAAATAACGTAAAGTCTCGACTTACGTGTTTTCAGGTAGAGGAAACTCGGGTGACAACGACGTGGGTCCAATTTTGCTACCTCCGCGAGATTACGACACCGTGCACAGACACAGAGGCAATCTGGCCGGGATCGAGTTCAGACGTTGCTTGAATCAAACGATCGTGGGCGGTAGTACTACGATCGACAGGGGAGGCACGAGAAGCGCGGCGAGCAGCGGGATAGGATCGGATAGCGCCGCTACTCCCCCGCCTTATCAGAGCCATCACCCTTTGGGCCCCAGACCCTCCAGACCTTCCAGAGATTCCTCCTCCGGTAAGCGCTTTCTTACCTCTTGCTTCCAAATCGTTGAATAATTGCGGATAATTAACCACAGTTTAGCATAATTTACTTCGTTATTATACTTTATCTCGTGAAAATCTATCAATCAATTATCCAATTAAATTTAGAGTTTTCATTTTAATTTATATCTACGTTCAATAGGTATAATCAACTAAAGTAGATATAATACAAATCTAATTGAAATTGTTATTGAATTACGGTGTCACTTATGATTACGATAAATTAGTTACGAATTAATTGGATAGTTCGTGCTCTCTCTTTTTACGTTTCTTCGTTTCAACATCGAGCCATGAGTCCAAATTTTATTTAATTATAGAGTAATTAACAATTTATGAATATTGGAAAAAAGATTGAAAAGTTCAGTCAAAATTACAAGAAATCCTGGTCATCGTGACTCATCACCTCGAGTCGGTCGAAAATTTCGTGTCAACGCTTATAATTCTACAACAATTTCACTATCATGAGTCACGTTACTACCCACGAGATTCCCCAAATTTACCATCGAATCGCGATCGGGAATTTGTCGTGAGCGCGATGTCACGCGAAACTTTGAAATTTCCATAAGGAGACGTGGCAAATGGCGCGAAAGGGAAGAAAATACGACAGCACGGAGGCGTTACGTTGCTCGTGGTCGTTTCGATAGTCATGCTGAGCAAGTGTGAAATTTATTGTAAATGAAAAGCGCGAGTGTTCACCGTGACCGCTGTGCGAACGATACGTACTTACTTAAAAATCTCGATTCACGATACACGTTGGAGTAATTGAAATTAAATTTACTCTCGGTTGATTTTTAGCCGGAGGAAATTGTGCGAAGAGGCAATTAGAGGGACTCGTTTGTTTCACAACGTTCAATTATTACGATTCGCTAGCGGAATCGTGATCCATATAAGACGAGACGCTGTTATTCCGCGCCAGTTTCAAAATATTTTGCAATCCGTGATGCAAGAATTTCGTTGTTGCTACGATACTCGCGCCGCCGCTTTTGAAATGTTCTTCATTCAGAAAAGTAAACACGTTTCGGATCGTTGTTTGAATGAAGATCGTTTAGCTCGACACTTGTGGTTTTTACGCAAAATTATATAACGTAACACGTGTATCGATAACATCCATAAATATCATATCGCGTATAAATTTTAATAGCGTTTTTAAATATTAAACTGAAAAATTAAAAAAATATACAGATTTTTATATTCTAATAAATTTTCTAAAAGATTCTTAACTATATTATTTTCGATTGTTTCATTTTTGTAGATTTCGCGGTAATTCAATCGCTTACGACGTTTTAATAATTTTCAATTATCCCGATATATCAGTTACAAATAAAATGAATATCATGTTTGAAAAATTACATAATAAAGTATTTCTTTACTTTTGGTCCGATTTTCAGTATAAAGATATTACATTTCTGGTTCTAAGTATAATTTTTAACTCGTGTTTCAATTTTCATGATACGTTTTCGTTCGAATATGCATTTTATAACTGAAATTTCATCTTCATCTTCATCTTCATCTTCATCTTCATCTTCACGATTAAGTAGATACACGTGCCAACTTTCGTTTAAATCGAAGAGTCGGTTGCGAAGCACCCCTTGTTATTACACGGGCTACTTCATTTCCTTTCATTTTACAACGATCTTCTCGTACTTGTACCACGAACGCGATCACGATCCTTGAAACACTTCTTAAACTCGTGTAAACTGTTTCGAGAAATCGTTGGGAGATTTAATTTCGAGCAAGCGCAACACGATTCATCGATTCTCGTTTCGGGTTCGCGGGGGATCGTTTCCTGAGCGGGATCAGGAAAACGAGAAGTGGAGGACTTTCACTTTCGTGCAGCATCAAGCGACGCGCGATCGTTTAGCGGGCGTAATGGCGCGTTCAACCGGATCGCCTAATTTCCTAGGAAAACGCTCGAGCCGCTTTCCACTCGCCAAT